TTTAATGGTTTCAAAATCAATTAAAGGGTGCTACAGCCTCAAAGAGAACCTGAAATAGAGACGTTTTATTGTATTAATATTACAATATTACAATACAATAATGCCGTTACTCGCATATGATTATTGTAATATTATTCTCATTTCTTTCCCTTCTTTTAACAAAAAAAATCAATTATTGTGTTACTGTTATTTGCATAAAATAATTAAATTCTTTTTTTTGTTGCCAGCATAAAAAAATTAAATTCGACATGTAATAAAGTGTCAAAGGTTAGAACCTGAAGGTTTGCGAATTACATCAGAATTTCGAGTGCTCCTAGTGGCAACGTTAAGAAACTAACAAGTTGGTCCCCGAAAGCTCCATCATTACTTTCAGTTTTTAATATAAAAACTAATTTAATATTTAATTTGGTTTTAAATATAAAATCCCAATCTACTTTGTTTCTCATATTTATCTATTTTTTTCAAAATAATTTTTATAGTAGTTGCATATGTTAAAAATTTTATAGTGGTTCTAATAAATACACATGATTATCAAAAATATTTTAGAGAAAACAATATTTATTTATTATAAATAACTAATAAAACTAATTTTCTAAATTAACTCAAATGAGTCAACTAACTTTTATATTAAGAAGCAGAAGTAGTATTTAGAAAGTCAATTTTCAATTATGATTTTACAAAAACTGAAAAATATGGTTACTTGATAAGCTCTGCACCAAACCACCATCATATAATTATCTATTCGATTAATCACAAGACATCACACATCTTCAAAACAAAACATCAAGGCCAACGGATGAAAGCAACTCAAGAAATCGATCACCAGTCAGTATAGCCACGTTGCTCTCAGGCTTCCATTTAGTAGTATTTGTGCTTTGCGTCTCTGTTTCACCTCTCTTCTTTAATGCTCAATCGCTCTTCTTTAGTAGTATTTGTCAAAAAAGTTCAGACCAATTCTCAAAGCTGATGTTGAGACCAAGGAAGCTTTCAGGATGCTCAGAACCTGCAATACACACGAGTCTGATATAGCAAAGTAAAAACAACCAAAAAAAAAAAAACCATTTAACTTCAAATTTGCATCATCTCCTCTGTTCTCTGTCTAAAAATCAGAATATGATTGCATAGGGGATTTAATTTGATTGGCGATACTACGTCAAAGATTACAAAATACGTACCTCTTGTGCCCCAACGCAGATTGTTCTTTCTTCCAAGTCATGGTGATGCACCTTGAATTTAGCTAAAGATGACAAAACATGGTGAGATGAAAAGGGTTTCACAGACAGGTCATCGGCAACCATGTACTTGGTTCTACTCTTTGCATATCCATTGCCTGACTTTTCCTCCATTATTGGAGACTTAGGGTCAGACATTCTTAGTCCTCTCGCAACAGGTTTACTAAACAACGTTTTACCGGAAGTCAAATAATATGAACGAACCAATTTGCTATAACAATAACTCAACTCTGATGGACACTTCAGTTCATCGATAGGTAACATCTGGTCATTCACCTTAAAATATGGTGCCACCTTGAGGTCGGCCAACATGTTTTTCATCTTCTCTGACTTGAAGTCTCCGGTTGAATCGAAGTTGTTCAAACTGTTATATAATTTGTCCACACACACCAACCCAGAGTTTCCTTCTAAAACTCTCTCTACAGCTCCTAGTGGGAATGTCAAGAAACTAAGAAGCTGGTCCACGAAATCTTCCTCAACTTGAGCAAACAATATCTTAGACTTTGATTTTGAGATCAATACCTTCATCTTCATCGTTCGGGTGCTCTCTCTGCCTCTTCTCTCGTCAGTTGTCTCGAACGAGGTTTCGGAATCCACAAGGCTGTGCTCTTTCCCTAACAATAAATCTGTGAGTGCCGTCTTCGACATCAACAAGCACTTGAGTAGGTCCAAAATCTTCAGAAATATAATAAAGCATCAGATGACGAGAGATAATAAGATCCATCACAACGAAAAATTAATTTTTCCAAAAGATAACCTCATTTGAACCAAGAACCACAGTGGATTCCTGGGGTGGATCTTTAGAGTGTAGATTCTTTAGCAGACACAATATTGTCTTCAAATCAGCAGGAATTATGTTTAGATCCTCAGCAATAAGAAAAAATGCAGTCTCCTTTACATAGCCTTCCAATGTATGAAAGAAGCAATATCAACAGTCGAATCAAATATGGTTTGTTTAATAAGAATAACAAAACTATAAAATGCGTTGCAAAAGATATTATTACCTCTAGTATCACGAATTTCGTTTTGATCGGATCCACTGCATAACAACGATTTGCAAGGCGTCAGAAGGAATGTAGAATGCCCCCCACATTCGCATTTCAAATTCTCCGAACTGCTCACCAGAGAACCATCTTCATAAAAACAAGAGTCACAAGCATAATACTTGGTTGGATCAGTATCGTCAATGTTAAGTTTGAGTTTCTGATTATAACGCTCCATTGGGTTCCTTGGCTGAAGCAGCATTTGCTTGCATGTCTCTGAATTCAAATACTTGGGATCCAGATTACACACACTTGCATACAGCGAGCTTATGCATCCGAATTGACAGGGCTTCGTGTTTGAATCCTTACTCACAAGTCTGGCAATAGTGCCCAGTGGCAGGGTCAAGAAGCTTAAAAGAATATCTACAAAATCCTTCCCTGCTTCAGCATAGAGGACTCTGTTTTTCCTTTTTTTCACAACAACTCTCAATGAAATTTGCTCCGGTGTCGCAGTTGAATCCATGGGAGCAATATTACTAACCCACCAAAATCCAGCAGATGTTTCAGAAACCGCAACGAGGACATAACCTATTTGAATTTGAAATTGAAATATATATAAAGCAAGCAAGAAGATGTATAGTACCTGTATTAGAGAGTGGCTCTCGTTATGGAGGTTGTGGCTACGAACAAGGGCTCTTGAATTATTGGAAACTAAGGATATGACGAAGACTTTGCTGCTACTCCTTCATTGGCAAGGTAAAAGCCTGCACTCTTTTGGAGGTCAAAAAGTTGTTGCCTTCCTTGCTAAGTTAAGAATTTTTGTTAAATACCTTTTCTGCCCATCTTAGCCTCTCTGGCTCTTCTCCTTAATTTTCAGGGTCGCAATCAAGTACAGCATGTAATTACAATAATTAAAGAAAAATAAAATCACCTGAAACATGAAATAAATTATAATATACTACTTTCAGTCCTAATTATAAGAGCCAGTTGATTAGTTTGAGGAGATTAAGGAAATAAGTTGAGTTAGTTATTTCTGGTTAAAAAAAAGATTAAGTTAGTTATTTGTCCTAAATAGGTGTTGTCTTCCCTAAATTATCATTGTTAATCAAGTGTATTGACTAGAACTATCACTGTTAGAAGGGTTACTTTGAAAAAAAATGTATAGATATGAGACAAAGTAGATTGTCGTCTTATATTTTGGACCAAAATAAAAGTCAAACAGGATCTTATATTAAGGATTAAAGGTAGTATATAAGACAATACTTAGATCAAATTCTTATATCCATTACATTAAAATTTTTTAATCACACATAAAAATATATAACTAAAATAAATACGTCTTTATTTTTTAAGTTGTGCTCGTTGATCTTATAAGACATAAAAGTCACTCATCATTGTTTTTCTGATAAGTTTTTTTAGAAATTCATTAATATAACCATAATTATATTAATGAGAAAATTATCTTACATTTTGTTTTAAAAATTATACCCTAAATTCAAAAGAAAACCTTACTAGAACATATCCTATACGTATGAACGCAACATATAGTAATATTAAATTCATTATACAACCTTGTTTTATACAGACATGTGCCAGAAAACAAACCCTATTAGTCTTGTATCCACAGTGTTGCATGAAACATGAGAAAAACCGCATTGTTTATATAAATCATAATATCATTGGTTACAATTTTTTTTATTTACTTACCTGACACAACTGGATTCCAACATTAAGAGTCGGGAGAATTACTATAAAGTCCTAAATAAAAAACATAATTACTAAAAACTTCTAGAAATGATAAGCTTTAAGATTATAAATCACAACTTTGTCATTGAGACTTACTAGTTGTTGAGACCTTAGTGTATTTTTTGGTACGAGAAAATTTAGATAGGTTGGGATTCGAGGGTTCACTAGGACCCAGGCATGCTTCAAGCTCAGAAAGCACTTATAGAGTTTGTTACAGAGTGTCTACCAACAAAGTTCTTACATCAATAGCAAGATTCGAATTCATGATCTTGTGAGTTATGAGCTAACTTCTTACCAGTTGGACTAACTCTTGTTGGTACAAATTTTATTATCCTGTTGCTGGGGCCTGCTCTTATCCACAGGCCTTGCCTTGTCTCAACAAACGGTACCATACATGGGCTTATATTTAATTATTTATAATCCCCATTGGACCGTATATAATTTTTTTGGGCAAAACATTGGACCGTATATATTGAGGATTGAAAATATATTATCCTACAATATTATAAAGTTATTAGAACGGCAACTAGATGCGAATAATTCTATAAGTATTGTACTGAAATCTTTCTGAACAACTATATGTTGTAAACACATCATGATTCATTTTGTGGAAGAGTGAAGAGCAGTTTACTCTTATTTTGGTACAGTAAAAATAATCATGCATCAATTGAAATTGATTTTCTTCTCAAAAGATCTTAAGAGATTAAACTTCATTTTATTCCAGTTTTAAGAAAATCCTTTGTCTTGTTGATTATTGACGAGAATGTGGCTTTTTCGTTCTTTCTCCCAATAAGCTATAACCATTAAAAGTTAAATTTAAAATGTTGTAAATTTTTTTAATATTTTGCTAATTTTAATTGATTTCCTTAGTCCTAAAAAAGTAGTTAATAAAAAAGAGCGGAGAGGGTAATTAAGTTTGAAATCAAAAAATGAGAAGTGGAACAAATCCAGCTTGCTTCAACTCCCCTTGATTTAACAGAAACATATTTTTCAATTTTGATTTAACAAAAACTGAAAAATATGACCAGCATCATAAAATTATCTATTCAATCAAAAGCCATCACACTTCTTCAAAACAGTACAAAACATCAAGGCCACCATATGAAAGTAAATCAAGAAACTGATCACTACTCAGCAGCCACGTTGCTCTCAGGCTTCCATTTCGGCAACAATCATATTTCTGCTTTCCGTCGTCTTTGTTTCACTTCTCTTCTTTATTGTGTAGTAGTACTAACTTTTTAGTACTTGTCAAAAAAGCTCAGACCAATTGTCAAGGCTGATGTTGAGACCAAGGAAGCTTTCAGGATGCTCAGAACCTGCAATACCCATGAGTCTGATATAACAAAGTGAAAATAACCACACACAAAAAAAAAACCATTTAACTTCTAATTTGCATCATCTCCTTTGTTCTCTGTCTAAAAATAAGAATATGACTGCATAGGGGATTTAATTTGATTGGCGATACGACGTCAAAGATTACAAAATACGTACCTCTTGTGCCCCAATGCAGATTGTTCTTTCGTCCAAGTCATGGTGATGCACCTTGAATTTAGCTAAAGATGACAAAACATGGTGAGATGAAAAGGGTTCCACAGACAAGTCATCGGCAACCATGAACTTAGTTCTACTCTTTGCATATCCATTCCCTGAGTTTTCCTCCATTATTGGAGACTTAGGGTCACACATTCTTAGTCCTCTCGCAGCAGGTTTACTATACAACCTTTCATCGGCAGTCAAATAATATGAACGATCCAATCGGCTGTAACAATAGCTTAACTCTGACGGACACTTCAATTCATCGATAGGTAACATTTGGTCATTCACCTTAAAATATGGGGCCACCTTGAGGTTGGCCAACATGTTTTTCATCTTCTCTAACTTGAAGTCTGCGGTTGAATCGAAGTTGTTCAAGCTGGTATATAATTTGTCCACACACACCAACCCAGAGTTTCCTTCCAAAACTCTCTCTACAGCTCCTAGTGGGAGTGTCAAGAAACTAAGAAGCTGGTCCACGAAATCTTCCCCAACTTGAGCAAACAATATCTTGGACTTTGATTTTGAGATCAATACCTTCATCTTCATCGTCCCAGTGCTCTCTCTACCTCTTCTCTCGTCAGTTATCTTGAATGGAGTTTCGGAATTCACAAGGCTGTGTTCCTTCCTTAACAATAAATCTGTGAGTGCTGTGGTCGAGGTCAACATGCGCTTGAGCAGGTCCAAAATCTACCAAAACATAATTAAGCATCAGATAATGAGAGATAATAAGATCCATCAAAGTGAAAAATTAATGTTTCCAGAAGATAACCTCATTTGAACCAAGAACCACGGTGAATTCCTGGGGTGGATCTTTAAAGCGTAGATTCTTTAGCAGACGCAATATTGTATTCAAATCAGCAGGAGTTACATTTAGATCCTCAGCAATAATAAAAGATGCAGTCTCCTCTACATAGCCTTCCAATGTATCATCTGCATTTTGGACTAAGTATGAAAGAAGTAATATTAACAGTCGAATCAAATATGGTTTGTTTAAGGATAACAAAATTATAAAATGCTTTGCAAAAGATACTATTACCTCCAGTATCACGAGTTTCGTTTTGATCGGATCCACTGCATAACAACGATTTGCAAGGCGTCAGAAGGAATGTAGAATGCCCCCCACATTCGCATTTCATATTCTTGGAACTGCTCACCAGAGAACCATCTTCATAAAAACAAGAGTCACAAGCATAATACTTGGTTGGATCAGTATCGTCAATGCTGAGTTTGAGTTTCTGATTATAACGTTCCATGGAGTTCCTTGGCTGAAGCAGCATTTGCTTGCATGTCTCTGAATTCAAATACTTGGGATCCAGATTACACACACTTGCATACAGCGAGCTTATGCATCCGAATTGACAAGGCTTCGTGTTTGAATCCTTACTCACAAGTCTCGCAATAGTGCCCAGTGGCAGTGTCAAGAAGCTTAAAAGAATATCTACAAAATCTTTCTCTGCTTCAGCATAGAGGACTCTGTTTTTCTTTTTGTTTACAACAACTCTCAATAAAATTGGATCCGGTGTTGCAGTTGAATCCATGGGAGCAAAATTACTAACCCACCAGATCCAGCAAATGTTTCAGAAACTGCAATGAGGACGTAACCTATTTGAAATTGAAATATATATAATATGTATTTATATATATATATATATATATATATATATAAAGCAAGCAAGAAGATATATAGTACCTGTATTAGAGAGTGGCTCTCGTTGTGGAGGTTGTGGTTACGAACAAGGGCTCTTCAATTATTGGAAACTAAGGATATGACGAACTAAGTATATGACGAAGACTTTGCGACTCCCCCTTCATTGCCAAGGTAAAGGCCTCCGCTCTTTGGAAGTCAAAAAGTTCTCGCCTTCCTTGCGAAGTTAAGATTTTTTGCTAAATGCCTTTTCTGCCCATCTTCGCCTCTTTGGCTCTTCTCCAGAATTTTCAGGGTCGCAATCAAGTACAGGATATAATTACAATAATTGAAGAAAAATAAAATCACCAAAAACATGAGATAAATTATGATGTACATACATATATATAGAGGACAATATTTAGATCAAATTACTTGTATCTATTAAATCAAGTTCCTTAATTACACCTAGTCATGTGTTACACATGGTCATGTGTGATTAGAGAATATAATATAATATAATATAATGGACATAAAGGATTTAATCTAAATATTTTCCTACGTATAATTAGTACTAATTTAACAAACTTCTTTACTATACTCAAATTAGTCAATCAGATCCTAATTATAAAATCTTATTTGTAAATTATGAACAAAGTCTTATAATTGGGATTGAAAATAGTATTAAGGACCGGAGGTAGTATATAACACAAATCTTTTAACATATTTATATTTAATTTTTTAAAACTATATAATTAAAATGAACATGTGTCTTTATTTTTTAAGTTGTGCTCGCGGATATTACAAGATATAAAATCACTCATCATCGTATTTATGATAGTAATATTAAATTCATTATACAATACTCCCTCCGTTCCTTATTACAAGAGACAAATAACTAAATTCTGTTGATAAAAAAACAGTTAAAATTAGTTAAGAACAATCAATATGTAGAAGGTATAATTTTTTTCCCAAAAAAGCCCTCATTAATAAGGAGAGAGTATGAGAGAGAACAATGGTACTAAATTATTCAAAGAAAGAGAAGTGGGAAGGAGAGAGAGTGTGAGTTGAAGACAATAAATATGGGTAAAATAGAAAATCAATACAAAAAAATAGAGATAACTTCTAAGTGTCTCTTATATATAGAAACATGCCATAAGCATCAAATATTTCTGATAATAAGGAACGGAGGGAGTAGTGTTTTATGCAAACATGTGCCAGAAAACAAACCTTATTAGTCTTGGATCCACCGTGTTGCATGAAACATGAGAAACAACCGCATTGTTTATATAACTCCTAATATCATGCATCACTCACAAGTCTCGCAATAGTTCCCAGTGGCAGTGTCAAGAAGCTTAAAAGAATATCCACAAAATCCTTCCCTGCTTCAGCATAGAGCACTCTGTTTTTCTTTTTGTTTAGAACAACTCTCAATGAAATTGGTTCCGGTATAGCAGTTGAAGCCATGGGACTATGGGAGCAATATTAGTAAACCACCAAGTCCAGCCAATGTTTCAGAAACTGTAACGAGGACGTAACTTGTTTGGATTTGAATTTGAAACATCCACATATATAAAGCATACAAGAAGGTGGCACCTATACTGGAGAGTAGCTCTGGTTATGATAAAGCATACAAGAAGGCGGCAGCTATATTGGAGAGTAGCTCTGGTTATGGAGCTTTTGGTTATCAACAAAGGCTCTTGAATTTTTGGAAATTGATGATTTTCTCCCATTTCTCCTATTTTTTGAAGTCAAGTCATTAGAATTTTCTCTCCCTTTTTAGCGAACATTGGGGCTAGTATACCTCTCTTATCCTTATTATTTGTTACTTGCCAGAGTCTCTTACATACCAAAAAGAGTATTAAATAAGTGAAAGAGTATGAATATTGAAAAAAATGTGATGCAATACTAGTATATTTTCTCTCACTCATTCCTTCTCTTCTTGCCTTTACTGTAATTAATAGGGACGAAATTGAAAATGAAGCATTAAAAAAGATACAGGTAACAAATAAAAATGATCAAAATTTCTTCCATAAATGATAAAGATCAGAGTGGTAAATTTTCCCTGGCTTTGTGACTTTAAAATAATTATAGTTTAATATTAAAATTAAAATTACATAAAAATTATTAAATAGTTTAGACTATTAAAAGTTTTCAAATTACGTCTGGTTAAAATATTATCATATTAATTCTTTAATTATCTTCTTGGTATTCTCCATCTCCCCTTTAAATCGAGAGTTGTTACGAAGAGAAAATTTGTACAAAAATAATTAACTATTTAATTTAGTTTCAAAGAGAAATTTATTTTTTTAAAATTCCAAGCAATAATTATTTGGCAACATAAAAATATTTCAATTCAATTTCAATTACGTCAGTGTTATCCTTTTTTTAATTTAATACATAATATAAAAATAAATATATTTCAAATTTTTTTTAGCATGCTCGAAAGTTAACAAAATAAATATGGATTTCAATTAATCTTATATAAAAATAATCATTTGTGTCCCTTTACACTTTACAGTACACAACCTCAAGCATCTCAATTGCACCCACATACACACACCGCCGCGTCGTCAGTTTGCATCATAAATGGACAATATGCATAATCAATTAAGTTGACCATGTAGATAATCCATACTTAATTCACTACCATTGTACACTTTATTTTCGTCTCATTTTAAATATACACTATGTGTAGCCAATTCAAATCATAATTAGATTGTATAAATTTATCTGGGCTAATTACTTGGATATGAGAAGAGGACTTGCTGATTTTGTTAAGAGGACTTGTTAAGGAGCAGTAAAGCACCATTATATAATTATTGATTCAATCACAAGCCATCACACTTCTTCAAAACAAAACAACAAGGCAAAAGTCTGAAAAAGAGTTGAGAAATTGAAGGACGTTGCTCTCAGGCTTCTATTTAGCCAACGGTTATGTTTCTCCTTTCCGTCTTTGTTTCACCTTCTTCTTTAATATTATTTGATAAAAATTCCTTCAGGCCAATTGTCAACGCTGATGTTGAAACCATGGAAGCTTTAAGGATGCTCAGAACCTGCATTTGTATGCATGCATGAGTCTGATACAGAAGGCAAAAAAAGATTGCAGCGAGCATGCAAATAAATCCGATCATATTCAAGTTAAAAAAAAAACCCAAAAAAAAAAAACATTAAGCTTCTTGTTTTTTCGATTTAAGCAAAATTTGCATTTCCTTTAATTTGTCTGTCTAAAGGTTAGAAGATACGTACCTCTTGTACCCCAATACAGATTGTTCTTTGCTCCAAGTCATGGTAAGGCACCTTGAATTCAGTTAGTAAAGATGATAAAACATCGTGAGATGATAAAGGTTTCACAGACATGTCGTCGGCAACCATGAACGTGGTTCCAACCTTGGCATATCCTTTGCCTGATTTTTCCTCCGCTATTGTGGACTTAGGATCGCACATTCTTACCTCTCTCTCATTCAAGTTTGCATTGGCACTCAAATAATATGAACCATGCCACGACCAACAACTTAACTTTGACGGATACTTTATTTCATCGATAGGTAACATCTGGTTACTCGCCTTAAAATATGGGGCTACCTTCAGGCTGGCAAACACGTTGTTCATCTTCTCCGACTTCAAGTGCTTGGTTGAGTCAAAGTTGGTCAAACTGTTATATAAATTATCGACACACGCCAACCCAGAGTTTCCTTCTAAAACTCTCTCGACAGCTCCCAGCGGGAATGTTAAGAAACTAAGAAGGTGGTCCATGAAATCTTCCTCAACTTGAGCAAACAAGATCTTGGACTTCGATTTTGATATCAATACCTTCATCTTCATCGTCCCACTGCTCTCTCTGCCTTGTCTCTCGTCAGTTATCTTGAACGAGGTTTCGTAATGCACCAGGTCGTGCTCCTTCCTTAACAATGAATTTGTGATTGCCGTCTTCGAGATCAACAAGCACTTGAGTAGGTCCAAAATCTTCCAAAACATAATAAATTAAAGAATCAGAAGATGAGAGATAAAGGAAATAAGACATAATTAATGTTTCCAAAACTCAACCTCATTTGAACTCAGAACCATAGTGGATTCCTCCGGGGGATTTTCAGAGCGTAGATTCTTTAGCAGACACAATGTTGTATTGAAATCAGCAGGAGTTACAGTTAGGTCATCATAAATAGTAAAAGATGCAGTCTCCTTTACATAGCCTTCCCATGTATTATCTGCATTTTGGACTAGGTATGAATGAAGTAATATTAATAATCGAATCAAATATCGTTTGTTTAATAAGGATAACAAAAAATATAAAATGCATTGCAATTATTACCTTCAGTATCACTACCACTCTCCTTTTCATGGGATCCACTAACCAGAGGACTGCATAAGAGCGATCCCCAATCCTTCAGAAGGAACGTAAAATCCTTCCCACATTTGCATTTCATATTCTGGGAAGTGCTCACCATCAGAGAAGGTCCTCGAACAAGACAACATTCACAAGCATAATACTTGGTTGGCTCAGTGTCATCAATGTTGAGTTTGAGGTTTTGATTATAACGTTCCATGGAGTTCCTTGGCTGAAGCAGCATTTGCTTGCATGTCTCTGAATTCAAATACTTGGGGTCCAGATTTCCCACGCTTTCATACAGCGAGCTTATGCATCCGAATCGACAAGGCTTCGTGGTTGAATCCTTACTTACGAGTCTAGCAATGGTTCCCAGTGGCAGTGTCAAGAAGCTCAAAAGAATATCCACAAAATCCTTCTCTGCTTCAGCATAGAGCACTCTGTTTTGCTCTTTATCCACAACAACTCTCAATGAAATTTGTTTCAGTATAGCAGTTGAAGCCATGGGAGCAATATTATTAACCCACCAAATGCAGCAAATGTTTCAGAAACTATAACAACGACGAAACCTATTTGAATTTGAATTTGATATAATATACACACATCGCTATCGAGGTTATGGTTATGAACAAGGGCTCCTGAATTATTGGAAACAAATGATATGACCAAGGCTTTGTGACTCCTCCTTCTTCAACTTTCAATTAGGCTTACTCATTAAGTAAATGCCTGCACTCTTTTCGAAGTCAAAAGATTCTGGCCTTCATTGCTAAGGTAGGATTTTTTGTTAAATGCCTTTTTCTGAGGGGTTGCAACCAAGTAAAGTGTGCACTTATAATAATCGATGAAAATTAAAATTACCTGAAACATGAATAATATTAAATTATGATACTATATATTTAGTATAATATAAATCTTTTTATCACATATTGATATTTAATTTTTAAAATATATAAATCATTTTTTAAGTTGTGCTCGCGGATATTACAAGACATAAAAATCACCCATCGTCATATTTGTTTAGAATTTTATTAATATAACCATAATTATATTAGTGAGAAAATCATCTTACACTTTTGTTTTAAAAAAGGTTAATATAATTTTTAGTCTGTTAAGTTTGCCTTCATTTTGGTTTTAGTTCCTCAATTTTTAAACCATAGTTTTTACTCCTTCAAGTTTCTTTTCATTTAAAATATTGATACATATAATTCAATACAAACTTGTCCCATTCTCCCTTTTAAAAGACTAAAACTTATAGTTTGAAATTTAAATGATTAAAATTAAAATAAAGGCAAACTTGATAAACTAAAAATTATATTAACTTTTTTAAAAATTAGACCCTAAATTCAAAAGAAAACGTCGCTAGCAAATATCCTTCACCGTTTTTTGGCCGCAGCACATATCCTATGCCTATCAACGCAGCATATGGTAATATCTGAACCCCATTGGACCGTATATATTTTTTCGGCCAAAACGTTGGACCGTATATATTGAATATTGAATTTTTTCATATATTTCACTACTTTCTTTTTTCTGCTAGAAATATGTTATACTACATATTATAAAGTAAATAATAATAGGATAAAGTGCTTAAATACCTCAAAAGTATTCATGTGGATTTCTTTTGCTTTTATATGCCCAAAAAGTTTATTTTCGTAGCCAAAATACATTAGCTGTTATCTGCTATTTAGTTTGATTGTTAAATTATACAATATGACTGATGTCCATAACAGTCAAAATTAACGGCGGATAACAGTTCAAGATAGAAATGCTGTGAAATAATATTTTTGGAGTATATAAGAGTCAGAAAAAATTATTTTAGGTGCTAGATGCTCATTCTTAAATACTTCAGGATACTTAAATACCTTATCCTAATAATAATTTATTCTCAGGAAGGCAACTAGATGTTAATAATTCCATAGGCATTGTGCTGAAACCTTTCAGAACAACTATATGTTGTGAACACATTATGTTTCATTTTGTGGGAGAGTGAAGAGTAGTTTACTCTTAGTTTGGTACATTAAAAATATTCTTGTGTCAATTGAAATTGATTTTCTTCTCAAACAAACGTAAGGGATCAACCTTCACTTTATTCCAGTTTTAAGAAAATCTTTTGTTTTGTTGATCATTAACCAGAAGGTGGCTTTTTAAGCTATAACTATTAAAGGTTAAGTTTAAAAACTTGTAAACTTTTTTAATATTTAGTTAATTTAATTAACTTCCTTAATCCCTAAAAAAGTAGTTAATATGATTTAATAGAAAAGACCGTAGAGAGTAATTAATTTTGAAATAAAAAAATGAGAAATATGATCCAACTTGCTTTAACTTCTTACTATCTTTAGAAATGAAAATTAGCCTTCCCACAGTATCACCGTATATTTCAATATTATTATTTTTTATAATTTTATTTTAATATGATCATGTTTGGGTAGCTATAATCAGTAATAGGAGTATTTCCTTCGACAGACCGCAGATCGCAGTAATCATAATTCCTTAAAAATAAAGTCTTGTAAGTTGCTTTCAACCTTTTTTTTTTCTTTTTTTTCTTTTTCTTCCTTCCTTCCTTTTTCTTTTTCTTTTTTGCCAGAGAATTTGCTTTTTCTTCTTTTTTTTTTTGTCAAAGAAAATTTGTTTTTCAAGTTTTGAAGAAATTGATTTTTCTGGAATATCCACAAAATCCTTCTCTGCTTCGGCAAAGAGCACTCTGGTTTTGCTCTTTGTCCACAACAACTCTCAATGAAATTTGTTCCGGAATAGCAGTTGAAGCCATGGGAGCAATATTATTAACCCACCAAATCCAGCAAATGTTTCAGAAACTGTAACGGGGACGTAATGTATTTGAATTTGAATTTGAATTTGAAATATATATATGTGTGTGTGTGTGTATAAAGCATGCAAGAAGATATATCGTACCTGTACTGGAGAGTGGCTCTCGTTATGGAGGTTATGGTTATGAACAAGGGCTCTTCAATTATTGGAAACTGATGATATGACCAATGCTTTGCGACTCCTCCTTCATTGCTAAGGTAAATGCTTGCAATCCTTTGGAAGTCAAAAAGTTCTTGCCTTCATTGCTAAGTCGAGATTTTTTGTTAAAGCCTTTCTGCCCATCTTCACCTCTTTGGCTCTTCTCCAGTAATTACAACAATTGAAGAAAAATAAAATCGCCTAAAACATAAAGTAAATTATTTTATATATATATAATTATATCAAGTTCTCTTATCACATATGGATATGGGTCATGTGTCATATATGACTATATGTAATTGAAAAACATGATATAATTGGACATAGGAGATTTAATCTAAGTATTTTCCTATATATAATTAGTATATAACATAAATCTTTTAACATATTTATATCTAATTTTTAAACTATATAATTAAAATAAATACGCATCTTTGTTTTTCAAGTTGTGATCGCCGATATTAGAAGACATAAAAATCACCCATTATCGTGTTTCTGATAATTTTTTTTAGAAATTTATTAATATAGCCATAATTATATTAGTGAGAAGACTATCTTACATTTTGTTTTAAAAATTAGACCCTAAATTCAAAAGAAAGCCTCACCAGAACATATCCTATATGTATGAACGCAACGTATGGTAATATTAAATTCGTTGGAGTGTTTTATGCAAACATGAGCCAGAAAACCAACCTTGTTAGTCCCGGATCCACTGTGTCCCATGAAGCATGAGAAACAACCGAATTCTTTAAGGAGTAAATCATAATACCATTGGTTACATTTTCTTCATATACTCATCTGACTGGATCGGATCGGATTGCAACATAAAGTTCTAAATAAAAAACATATTTACTTAAAAATTTTATTAATAACAGAGCAACTTGCAACAACAAATTTCAGAATAATAAATAATAACTACTTATTTATTATTGAGACTTACCAATCATCGAGAACTCATTGTAATTCTCCCTCCAGAATTACAAATTTTATTATTCATAGGCCGCCTTGCCTTGTTTCAATAAGCGGTAGCATAGTTGGCCTTGTATTCATAAACCCCATTAGACCGTATATATTAAATATTGAAAATACATTATACTTTGTATCCAAAAAAAAAATACTATACTACATATTATAAAGTAAATAATAATTTATTCCCAGAAAAGGCATCTAGATGTGAATAATTCTGTAAGTATTGCACCAAAACCTTTCAACCTTTCAAGACAACTGGACAACTAAATGTTGTAAACACGTCATGTTTTATTTTGTAGAAGAGTAAAGAGCAGTTTACTCTTATTTTGATACAGTAAAAATATTCATGCATCAATTGAAATTGATTTTCTTTTCAAATGAACTTAAAAGATTAACCTTCACTTTATTCTAGTTTTAAGGAAATCCTTTGTCTTCTTGATTATTGACGAGAAGGTGCCTTTTCAAGCTATAACTATTAAAGGTCAAGTTTAAAAAGTCACAAATTTTTTAATATTCAGTTAATTTTAATTAATTTCCTTAATCCTTAAAAAAGTAGTTAATATGATTTAATAGAAAAGACTGGAGAGAGTAATTAATTTTGAAATAATTAAAAAAAAAAAAGAGAAGTGGAACAATATATGATCCGACTTGCTTCAACTCCTTATGATGTTTAGAAATGAAAATTAGCCTTCCCATAGTAATCACCATATATTTCAATATAATCTTTTTTATAGTTTTATTTTAATATGATCGTGTTTGGGCAGCTATAATCAGTCATAGTAGTATTTCCTCCCGCAGACGGTGGTAATCATGATTCCTTAAAAATGAAGTCTTGTAATTTGCTTTCAACTTTTTTTTTCCTTTCTAACCTTTTATCTTTTTCCTTTTTTTTTCTTTTTTTGCCCCTTTTTGCAGGAGAATTTGCTTTTTCATTATTTTTTTGGCCAAAGAGAATTTGCTCTTTCAAGTTTCTGGGTCGGCTTCGAAGAATTCTGTTGTTGCTGCTATTATTTCTGTTGCCAGACTAATATTTCATTTATTAACACTGCCATATTTCTTTTACATTGAAGGTCACATCTTTTTCTTTCTAAAAATTACAGTTTTCGGAGGCCTTTTTGCTTTGCTTTCATGGAAGTTTTGATGAATCATTGGCAATCGCAGACGCTGCTACATATTGCT